CCCTTTCATGAGAAAAGTTGATAATAGAGCTTCTGGAAAACCTGACCGCTGGAAAACCAAGTCCTTAGTATTTGGTCAGAAAATTTTGCAAACCATGAAGAATGATAAACGTTTCTATGTTGATAAAGAGATGGTATAGTTCAGACTCGCTCATTTTTAAATAGGTCATATTTTGTTTTTGCTTTTCGCAACACTTTGGTATCATAGAAAAATTCACTAGGGAGGGGAGGAGGTGTGATCGACGAAAAGTGGAAAGTGGATCCCACACGCTATCATGAATATCGGACATGCTAGTAAAACGTGCGTGGTGCCAAGAGGAAGCGTCGCAATAGAGCTCCACCCAACGAATCAAGACTGAACGCGAGCCTCGTACTAGCATCTCCCCAACGACTAATCTTTCGATTCTTGGCTAAAAGAACCATTGTTCCAGCATGTTTCTCAAAGGGTTTTCGCCTTCACAAAGAACAGATTGAACTTGTTTTGTCTGAAGTAGCACGTTTTTAGCTCAAAATGAAGAAAATATTTAGTTGGAAATTATAACACTTACCATATAAAAATTTCAACGAATAATCCGATTAATAGCGATTTTTATGATTCATAGTCGACCATAAGCATACTGCTTAACTCGATTATCGATTGTCAATTTTGAAAAATTTCGCAAGACTTTATAATTTTGTCAAATTATATTGGCGATTGAAGCTTTTGAGAAGATCGATTGAATACGATTTAGTTTTTATCGATTTTCATCAGGTGGAACTGATTAGTTCAAAATCGGTTATAATTAATAGAATTTGCAGAGAAGAATTAATACATCAATTATTTTGATTAGTTTCAATTAAAGTCGATTTAGAATGTGTGCTTATGATTGATTCTAAGTGTAAAATAACGTCACACATGCATACAGCGTTAGCTATTCAGTTAGCTAATGGAGCGCCAGAAATAACATCATGATCGTACTAGAATGAAAGCTCCGAAACGACCTTTCTGGTTTCTAGCTGAAGAGCTGATATTTTGTATATGAACTTATTTTAGAATATGTAACAGATAAAAACATTCTTGGGCATTTGTTATTTCAACAATGCCGGTGAGACTTAAAGTTATCAAAACTCCCAACTATCCTTCGAGGTCACTGCGAATGTTATTATAGAAATATAAAGGCTTATTAGTTACAATCAAATTACCGTTTTCACGGATTTTTTTGTTTAAAAATACAATTATGATTTTTGTGCCTGTAGCCTTCCTACATGGACTCAGCAGCTCGTAGGATTTAGGATGCTACGTGCGTTCAAGCCCCTCCAAGTTCGGCTGTTGTTTATATCGATAAGAATTTTAGCTGTGGTTCGTCGATATTGGCGATTGGGATAAAAACGCAACATCTGAAGTCTTGCGATTATTCAGGTGGTACATGTTTCAGTCAACTGATGTACAAAAGTAAATTCTACATACATAACGTAGGTAAATTTCAGGTTTTTTACCCATATACTTATCAATTTCTTTCTCTAGTTCATTCATAACCAAATTGGCCAAAATCGTCTTTGTGTTGTTCGTATACGCTTGAGCAATTTTGTGAATTTGAGTTCGGATGAAGTTGCCTCCCCGTTTGAGTACTTCTGCTGTAACCGAACTGTCCTCTCCTGGTGCATTGTTGTCCTTGAGTGAGTCGATGGCCTCTTTGGCGTCCTGTTGACTGAAATTTGAGGTTTTGATCTTGAGGTCCTTTTTTGCTGGTTGCGGAAGAGATGTTGGGTTTGAGAGAGTGCCGTTGAGAAGTGTTTCGAAGTACCCTGCCCATTCGTCAAGTAGCTCGGACTCCGAGTTGGCCATATTACCATCTCTTTGCTTGACTTTAGTGATCTTCTTCTCATTCTTTCCGCTGAGATTGTCAACGATCTCCCAGGTGCGACCCATCTGATTTCTATTTGCTGCGAGTTCAAGCTCTTTTAGTTGACTCTCAAGTTGTTTCGATTCGGCTTGCTCGCATGACTTGCTTGTCCAGATCTCGCCATTTAGGTCGTGTGGCTGGTGGTTTCTGTTGTCGAAAAACCTTTCTGGCCCTGCCTCGTTCATCTTGGAGACTTAGAGTTTTGGTTGAAACCCAGTTTGGGATTTTCTTTTTCCTCTTTGCCCCCAGTATGGTTTCACTTGTCTTCTCTACCGCGGTCACCCCGAAAAACGCCATGTTTCTCCGGTCGAACTTCATCCTTTTTCCTCGAAAACTCGATATTCTAAAAGTAGAACTGCATCTTTCAACGAGAAAACTCCATGTTCTTGTAGTAGAACTGCATCCTTTTTCCTGGAATACTCCACGTTTCCCCTGTAGAATGCTGGGTTCCCTTTTCTGGAATGCTGGGTGTGTCTCCAGGAGAACTGGATCCTTCTACCCGACTAACTCGATCTTTCTCTAGTCGAATTTCATCCGTTTGGGTGAAAAACTCCGTGTTCTTATAGTAGAACTGCATGTTTCTTCCGGAAAAACTTGATGTTTCTCCAGCAGAACTCCATCCTTTGACCTGGAATACTCAGAGATGTCAGAATATCAGTACGC